GACGGATGTCGAAACGTCAGGCGAATAAAAGTATCGTCCCAGCGATCGAGTTGTCTTCTTATTTACTTCCTGGGACTCATACGTTCGCTTGTATTGGCAATCAGGTCCCCCTTTAACTGGCTAAAGACATATCTTACTTGATCTTGTCAATTAAGAGTATGTAAACAAATAGCTCCCAAAATTATATATTAGCTGTTGGTTCGGCCAAGTAAGCTAGCGTGTAGGCTGGCTAAAATGGCGCCTGACTGTTTAAACAGGAATAAAGGCGACTCGCGATGCCTTAACGTATACGGTCGGCTGTTTCGCAGTACTTAAGCTTTCGGACGTTAGTTTGGGTAAAATGGTAGCACTCGATTGGTCAAATCAAGCGACGTTCGAGAGCCACGAGCGTCCATTTTTTGCTTACAAGGATGCCATGAAGATGGTCCTCCCCTAACTTAGGCAACAGGACATCAACAAGTGCCCTTTGGATGCCGAAAAGTGGAGGCAGACATGACCAGATTTCCGCAAGGAGAATAGTAGACGATCGTTACTATCACATAGATTGTTCGGAAATGGGCGAACCCATAGGCGTGCACACATAGATTGTTGCCGGCGGCAAACTTTGTGACGATGCAGCGCATAGTCAGGCCCGCTTGTTGAAACATGTAGTAGGTGGACGAAGAAGTGAGGAGGAGATATCGGACAAAAAAACGTTTTGTAGACAATCGTCGGGCTCCTGTTAACGTATGAGAAGGAAGGGGGAGTGGGTGAGGGAAGTTAACGAAAATAACTTGGGGATTAAAATGAAGTGACCAATTACCAGGGTTGACCACATGGTCAAGCTGCTTGCAAAGGTCGGATTTTTTCCCGCCGTTGACTTAATGCAGTGGCCTTCATCGATTATTATTTAAACTGAACCACAGTTATCATCATTCAGCGACAAGATGTAGCTGAGAAGCTGTCACGAAATTTATTGATGTCAATAAATCCTGCCGTATATGCCTGTTTAAAATTTATACCGGGGAAAAAATGCTTCAAAACTCTTCCATTTGTCCGATAGAAACCCTTAATTAATTAGTATTACTTACTGCCCCGTTATTTCATCCAAGCACACATCAAACGATCAATCAATCGTTACCGAGATTTTTTATGACTTAAATACTAGGAGGTGAACGGAGCTGAATCCGACTGAGGGAATACGTATCGGCATTTTGCCTGGAAAAGATTAATTGGAAGTAAACAGTTTTATTGCCCCCGAAGACCAAAAAATACCCTTTGGCGCTGAGAAGGACTAAAGGGGTTCCTTCGAATTCAAGGTGAAACCAATCGAAAGGAAACAAGAGGGGGACAGTTCCACTGAACGGATAAAGTTGCAAAAGAGGAATTGTTTGAGTCCAAGACAAAAACAAAATAAGTGGATCCTCTGTCGAAAGCGCTTATGTATAAACGACTCACTTGAAGAAAAAGAAGTTATGAATGACTGCTAGTAACCGGTAGTGCTGACAACGACTGCTAGAGGGTAAGCCGCCTAAAGTTGAAGCTCCTACCTCTTTAGATTAATAACTAAAGACTTAAGGAGATTTAAAAAAGCAGATTATAGAGATTGGCGGAAGCCAGTTCTTCTATTCCTCCCGCTAAAGACAATTAACAGTAAGCCAAATTTTGTATACTGATCATTTCGCAATGGCTTCCTGCGTTTGAAGCGCGTTCATATAATAATTTCGAATTGCGAAAACGGCAAAAGTAGCTTATGTAGCCCCACTCATATATCCCTAGTCGTAGCATTTTATCCTACAAAAACGGTTGTGATAGAATTTCTTGGGGTAGTGAAATAGGATAGGCAGTGAAGGAAAGATTTGGAAAAAAAATTAAGGTGAAAAAATGTAGTTGAAGTTGCTTCCCGCGGCCGCTGGAAACAGGTTGCTCCGCATATAAATTGTAGGTGTGCGGACTATACTAACCTAACTCCAGAACGGTAAGTTGGACCTCAGGTAAATCGAAGTAGACGACCTCCTAACCACCATTTCAATTTTTTGGGAAATTCAAGAAAACTGCAGTTTGATAATTGGGTTTTCGGCAATAAGTTAAATGATAATACAGATTAGGAAAATCTACAGATGTAAATCAACAACACTTCTAAAAACAGTAAAATAAAAATGTATTTAGCACTTATTCATGCATACTCCACTGCGTGTCCTAATTTCCCGCTCACAAAACCCGATAAACGT